TGACTTTGTTTCCATTTGATATCCAGCCAAAGAGAATTATGGTTGTTACACAACTGATGACAGATTCCCAGGATGAAACGGTTGGAGTGGTTTAGAAAAATACATTTCACGGCAGCTTAACGACCTCGAATGAATTTTAAAAAAGGCTTATTTGTTTTCAAGCATCTGATGCTATGATGCTGTTTTTCTGCTGCTTTACAATATCTCCATGAGAGATTCATTTACATAACCTAAATGGTGAGTTTATTCTAGAAAAATTAAACTAGAATTTTACCTGAGTTTTTTCCATTTGCTCGTTACCGTTTGACCCTGTAATGGATACAGCCCACCTCACAAACTGGTATCTGGGAAAGTTTGGAACTGTCCAAAGACCCCAAATTTGATGTAAACGTTTATATAAAATGAAAGGATGCAAAGTTCATGGAAGCATAAGGCAAATAGCAGCACTGGAAAATCAACTTTCGATTAATTTTGATTAAATGTCAATTGTGTGGAGTTTGTTTATATATGAATATAACATAATAGAGTAATAACATAACATAACATTTATATAAACACATATCCATGATATATATTTATTTTATGGTTTTTTTCCATGCATCCATTGTCCATACCTCTCATTCCTAAGGATGCGAGTCATTTATGTGATAAAATATATACATATATATTTAAAACAGAAAATGCACACAGCTAGACACAAAAGGGCTTCACATTCAACTTAGTCAGAGTTCCAGCTTTCAGCCTCTTTTTAAAAATAGTAAAGCACAGTTCATAATATATACAATATATACGTTTATGTAAAAGAGAAATGTGAGTTCCGTTTCTTTTGTCGGACCGTGAACACATCTGGGACACTTTCCTCACACTGAGAAAATCAGGATTTATTTTTAAATGCAGAATCCGACTAAAACATAATTGAAATAATAGTGAAAGATGCCTTCTTTGCTCTGACATTGGGCTAAACCTTCAACGGTCTCCTACAGAAAAGTAGGACCAGAAAACGAGTTTACTGAAGTTTACTCACAGAGTCCGCAGCCCTGGACATAAACTCAATAAAACTCCTCCTGTTTTTGGACGTGATGAAATTCTTCGTAACTGGATTGCAACATGCACATCCTGCACGGGAAAAATTACAACCAACAGTGACCTAGATTTACCAGGACGGGCAGCATTTCTGCGACCCTCTATTTTTAAATGGAAGCAAAACGCCACGTTAAAGATCACAGTCGCACGGCTAAAGAGCTAAACAGCTAACAAGTGTCGACCAGAGTCCCTAAAACAGTTTCATAAGTTGATTCCCGTTACCAAAACACTGCATTTAGTAGTTTAAACTCTCAGTTACGCTGCTACTGCTTTGGTTTAGTTTGATTAAAGAGTTTGTTATCTCTCAAAAGCTGATAGTAGCCTTTAGCTAATAGCAGCGGCTAACATGCAGCCGTTAGCATGAAAACATTTCGTTATGCAGACTTTAAACGGATTTAAATACACATGGTATTTCAATACTACTTACCACGGTTGTAATGGCTTTAAAACAGCAAAACGACACCAACAAAAAGAAAGTTGGCTAGTAGTCGACGCTAACGTTACGTCATCAGTGTGCGACGTCCAAAAGTGACGTCATCAGACGGGATCGCAACAACGGAACGTCAATTAACCAGCTGATGTAGAGCCCATATAGACACAGTACTGGGACTACTATCACCCCACCGCATATAAATACTATTATACAGGAAATATGGTTACACTTTGGCTGCAAATAATCTGAAACTAAAAGCTAAACTAAAAGGGAATAAGCTGGTGAAGTAGTTCTTAATGCTTGATGCCATGAAGGAGTTTTCTCTTAAAGCAAACATGATCAGCCATGGGTTAGGGTTAGGGTTAGGGTTAGGGTCAGGGTTAGGGTTAGGGTTAGGGTTAGGGTTAGGGTAAGCCATGATGAATGTTACTGTATCTGTGCACGATGGTTCATGTTGCAATGCCACTCTGAAACCATGCTTTAAATGCTTAAAATGCACATATTTCTTGAATGAATAAAAGCTAGATCCATGACATTTCTCCAGGTATCTTGTTGTGTTTATGTTGTGGAACTGATTAAATAATAATAATGATTGCATTGTAGAGCAGACCAACATCTGGATCCTGAGGGATGCAGCTGGAACCCGCCGGTTTGGCTCATCTACCAGTATGTCATAATGAGAGGTGACCCTGGGGAGGGTGGACACCTATCGGGCACCATTATGGCTCTGTGTTCACCATGGCTGCCCTCTTTATGCAGACTGCCCCATGGAGAAGAGACTAATGGCATTTCTTCACTGCTTACTGTGAGGAAGCTTAATGCAAAGCAAACAAATCCTGTGAAAGTGTGATGCCAGGGCCGAGTCAGGCCCCAAGTGCTGCTTGTGTTAATAGAAAGATTCTTTTTTTTAGTCTCATCACTAATTACGTTTAATTAATAAAACTAGGAATAGCCACAATGCAAAATACATTTTTAATGAATTAAGAAAGAAAAGAGAATAAAAAAGGCGTAAATGATCCTATGTTGGTTTCCCTCCTGAATGAAAGTCAGAATATATTTTCTTATATTTTTAGAAAGTTAAAATCGATGGTTTTGCATACATATTTATTTTTTCAGTGCAGGAAAAGTAATAAAAGGCAGTACTAAAAAGTTTTACAGTTCATAAGGCATAAAAAATTTCAAATTTCTTTCCCATTTGCAACTTTTTACGCTGAATGAGTATATATTTGCATGCATATGTTGTAAATCAGGTACGTGATCTGCAGAAAGTTTCTGCCATTTTAGATTGTTATTCCTATATTCTTGTATGGAAGGGGAATATCTCTCTGTTTTTTTGCCTTACAAAGTTTGTGTTGAAGTCATACGGAAATTCTCTAAATAAACATTCAGTAGTTAACAGGAAGGAAGTTAAATCAATTCTCATTCAACAATCCGTGAAACCCCAGTCATGCGAAACCTTTTTTTTTTTAAAACGCTTTCAAACGAGGTTTAACTCAGAGGAACTGTCTGTAACAGCCACTCCCTAAAGGGTTTTTGTTTCCTCATGGACAGGTTCCCATTTCTATTGCACATGGGAGAAAATACTTAAAACAATCTGCACATAGGAAGCTCCAAAATTTGCCAATTTCTACTAAGGCAGAGGTCAGTCAGCATCAAAGTCCATCAATCTTTATCATAAATAACGGCTACATGTTACATGAACATAAGCTAAAGGCATCTTTGAATAAACTGCATCAAAGCACACACACACACACACACATACACACTCACTTGACTCAAAAGCGCACACACACACACTGAACCAACTCAAAAACATACATACACACACATATATACACACACACACACTGAACCAACTCAAAAACATACATACACACACAC